GATGATTTAAGGGCGTGTGACAGAATTTTGCAAATCGGCCATCATTTGCGTCATAATGGGGCTAAGGGTAATTTCACGGTGAGAGCTCAAAAGTGTCGTTCTGATCGTAAGCACAATAGGAGAAGCAGAGCTTAAAGGTGACGCTCTGATTATAAGCATCATAAGAGAAGCTAAGAACGATGATTATGAGGCGTCTGACGGTGTTTTGCAAAGTGGTCCCTTTTGGGCAGTAATCCGGTTCAGCGAGAATTTTACACTAACAGCTCCCAAGTGTCGCTCTGATGATAAGCACTAAATAAATGAATCAAAAAAGATGATTTAAGGGCGTGTGACAGAATTTTGCAAATCGGCCATCATTTGCGTCATAATGGGGTTAAGTGACAATTTCACGGTGAGAGCTCAAAGGTGTCGTTCTGATGGTAATCACAATAGGAGTAGCAGGGAACGATGATTCTGAGGCGTGTGGCAATATTTTTCAAACTGGCCATCTTATGAGTCGTAATTTGGTTAAGTAAAAATTTCACAGTAAGAAGTCCAAAATGTCTCTCTGATGATCACCAGCAAAACACTTCCTTAGAGCGATGGTCCCGAAGCGTTTGAGAGTATTTTGCGAATTGGTCATGGTTTCGTTCGTGATGGGGTTCAACAAGAATTTTTAAGTATGAGTTCCAAAGTGTCTGCTTGATGAAAGGCACCAAAAAACTAGGTGAATACTAATATTAAGAGGCGTGTGGCAGTACTTGCAAATTGGTCATCTTATTGGTCGTAACGGGGTTTAGCGAGATTTTTACCGCAAGAGCTTAAAGGTGACGCTCTGATTATAAGCATCATAAGACAAGCTTAGAACAATAATTATCAGGCGTCTGACAGTATTTTGCAAAGTGGTCACCTTTTGGGCCGTAATGTGGTTCAGCGAGAATTTCATACTAACAGCTCCAAAGTGTTGCTCTGACGATAAGCACTAAATAAATGAATAAAAACGATGATTTAAGGGCGTGTGACAGAATTTTGCAAATCGGCCATCTTTTGCGTCATAATGGGATTAAGTGACAATTTCACGGTGAGAACTCCGAAGTGTCGTTCTGATGGTAATCACAATAGGAGTAGCAGAGAAGGATGATTCTGAGGCGTGTGACGATATTTTGCAAGCTGTATCAGGTATCAGGTATCAGGGTGAACATGTCTGTCCTTTTGAGAGGCATTCACTAGCTCTTTTTGGGCTTAATTTCTTGTCTATCCTAGTGAATAACTTAGAGACAAAAATCGAAATGAAAGAATACCTCGAGAATAGGCCTTTCCCGATTGCGGTCGTAAAATCCGAAAAAAGTGCTGGGAGAAATGGCTAAAAAGTGCTCAAAAGGTGCTCAAAATCTCAAAAAAGTGCTAAAAAATGTGAACAGTTACCTCTAAGCTTTTCGTAAATATGTCAATTTTTACTGAAGTAATTAACAATCTATTTTGCGTAGTGTTATTTGACAGGTTGTTACGAAAGGTTGATAGAATATAGAACAATAATATTTTTTAAAAACTAAAGCCGGTTACGAATTGTAAATTAATTCAGCAGTACTAGCATCAGATGATTTAGAAATTTGAGATGACACACGCATGATACATCAGCCAATCAGAAACTTCTGTTGTCACGCTCAGTGAGGATAAGTCCACGTGCCTTTCTATGACAACGGTCTTTTATTCTTGACAACATCATTAGTTATTCAAATTTATGACCTGGAACACGATTCTCGTTGCAAGCGACACACAGTTTTTGCTTTAAAATGTTTTAGAAGACATATGTTGCTGGAAATTTGCTCGAAATGTGAAATATTGCTCAAATGTTGCCCAAAGTGCGTAAGGGTGCTCAAAATGCAAAATAGTGCTCCAAACTCAAAAAAGTGCTCAAAAGGTGCTCAGCGCAATCGGGAAAGGCCTACTCGAGAATGACCTAATTGAGGATGAAGATGCGTGCGATGAAGTTAAATACGACTCCAAATCCTCACACGTGTACCTTACGCAACCGCGTGATGACCTGAATAGATACATGGTCGATAAATTCCACCCGCCGACAGCAAAATCACAGCAAGTTCCTTACGAATCCATTGATCTATCTGTATACAAGCCTTCATCGAAATGCTTAGGATTCACCACATCCGAATGTCGACTTTTACACTGGATTACTACCTTCGCACAAAGATATCACAGCCTACTGACCGGAAATGCCTCTGGATACAAGGTAATTTGGAAAGAGCAAGACAATAATCCTTCCGCCTCAAAATGTGATAAGATAGTCATTAATTTGCTTAAAGAAACAGCCTCTTCTGATGAGCTATTAGTGGCAATAACAGTATTTATAACGACGGGCAGAATCCTTGTACAAGGAAAAGGCCATGAAGACTGGAGTAAACATGAGTTTCCGGTTCTCCTGGACATTGTAAACCAACTGAGCTCCCTGAAAAGTTTTTCCAGTATCTCTTCAGTGGAAGATAAATCAATTTTTACTGGTTCTGTTCACAACTTCTTTGAAAATGCGATCCATTTTATTCCTGATGACGACATCCCATCTTTGAGCCAAGGCGTAGACATCGCAAATGGAGGAACTTCACCCCCCATTTTCGAGTCTCTCAAAATTACACCGAAGCGTTTAGGCACAATTTCCTCGTTGAGAGACACACTCGCACAACTGGAAGTTGACTTTACCCAGTTTAGAATGATATGTTCTGGTGACATTGAACAGATGAAGGACAAAATGACGCAACAAAACAATCTCTTGAAACTTCAAAAACAATTAACTGCAGACGTTTCGACTGAGCTGTCTTCCCACTTGACGTCATTCCAAGATATTGTCTCACAACAAACAACTCTAATCAAGAAACTGCAAGAGGAAAACCAGTCTCTCCAAAAGACACAAGCCAAACTCTTAGCAACAAATTCACAGTTACAAGAGCAACACGCGCAACTATTATCTGAAGTCAATTTCCTCAAAGAGCAAGTCCGTATGTTGTGGGACCACTCCACGGGCACCTCTGAACCAGCTCAGGGGATCTCTCGTGACTCAACGACCTCAGAGAGTGTTCAGGGAGAAACTCTAGAAAAATCATTAACAGAAGACGAAACCTTGCTCCTCGTTAATATCCCGACCGAAAATCGCTTCTCCCCTCTTCAGTCATCAGCTGCAAGACTTACCAGAAATGAACCTGACATTGATAGAGCTTCGGTTCCTACTCAGGAAAATACCGTATCGACAAATCACAATGGAAACGAACCAGCTTCTGAAGACGATCTACCTCCTAACGTTAAAATCATAAACACCTCTGATCAACCACATCCACCTAGTGCTGTAAAATCAAACACTGCAGTTTTCTTATGTGACTCAAACGGCAAATTCCTTGATTAGAAGAAACTCTTCCGGCCAAATCAAGAACTGACGTTTTTTAGATGCCCCAGGCTCGAGAGTGCACGATCCATTCTTCAAAATGATCTTCACGAGATCCCAGAAATAATTTTGATTCACACGGGCACAAATGATTTAACAGCTACAACTTCAATTCATGTTTTTATCTCAGAGTTTTGCAACCTAATTAAAGAATCAGCAAGTAAATTCCCTATGAGCAAAATCATATTCTCAACACTTCTACCACGTGCTGATGTACCTCTGCAAACCCTTATACAAATCAATAGCCAACTTATCAGCGAATGCTCCAAATTACCCAACGTACATGCCGTATTACATGAAAATATTTTCTCCAAAGAATTAAAGGATGTACTACATGATGAAAGGCATCTAAAGAAACGCCACATTGGTCTCTTTGCCGCTAATCTAGAGAATACAATCCGCGGTAGAGCTAAACAACCACGTCCTTTCCAGAAACAAGTGCCACACTCGCCGCCGCCATATCACCGTGGTAAATTCAGTTCTTACAGCGCTGCTGTCAAGAATCCTCAGAACGCCGACCTTAAGCAGCACCTGTCACCATTACACTCTCACGGTGAACCAAGACTCCCCCGGCACCTATGAACTGGGAGGTGGACAACCACCAGTCCTCGCACTTTCAAAGGCAGCAACAACCGCCCGCGCTACAGATACCTTCTCACTTCACTACAGGCTGGCAGATGCACAGTAAACCTCACCATGGTAAAGACTCTCATGTTGAACTCCCTCAGGAACTTATATCTTTTTTTAGAATCATTAAATCCTTACTCTAAATAATACCTAATTATTTACTAGGATACGATTAGAACATGCCATAAGATATCATTAATGTTGGCAGATTGCTCGAATCGCTCCCCGACTGGTAGTCTGTCGTTCTTTTCGTGGAACATCAATGGGATCTTTGCTAAACCCCTTGGTGATAAATTGCAAAATAATGAATGTTTGAATTTGATATGTCAATTTGATTTCGTAATTCTTTGTGAGACCTGGAAGGAAACGATTATCGACGTAACAGGATATCGATCGGTAGTTTCAGGTACCTCAAAATTAGGAAACAATGGTCGCAACTCAGGAGGAGTTGCTTTACTCTACAAAAATGAACTCCATAATTGGGTATCAATAGAAAAAATAACTCCAAACTTTCTGTGGTTCAAAATTAGTAAACAGTACGTAAAAACCTCAAAAGATATTTATGTTTGTGGCGTCTATATTCCGCCTAACGGCTCAAAATACTTTCTCCCTGAAATGTTTGAAGATCTTGAAAACGACATTGAAACTTTTTACTCCCAAGGATCGATTCTTCTCATGGGTGACTTTAATTCTAGAACAGGAAAATATTCGGATTGTGTAAGCCAAGAAGGAAACACCATTATTACCAATGATCAGTCCCATCTTTCTTCAGGTTCCACTCATAGAAATAGTTTTGACAACAACATTAACAATCACGGCAAACGCCTTCTTGAAATCTGCAGAAGCGCAGATCTTAGAATACTTAACGGTAGAGTTAGTGGAGACTCCTTAGGAAGAGCCACATTTCATGGAAAGGCTGGAATAAGTGTCGTTGATTATGCCATATGTGATCAAACGTTATTTTCACACATACTAAACTTTATTGTTAAAGAGCCCACGTATTTATCGGATCATAGTCCACTGGTGACCTGGTTATGCACTGACACCGATATTCGTAATCAAGATCCTTCACCAGAGAGTGATACTTTAACACGATTACCCAAACAATTTATATGGGAAAGTCACTCTACACCAAAATTCAAAGCAGCTCTTCAATCTCCAAATTTGCAAATGATAATTCACGAATATTTAAGTGACATCAATTCAGCTAAAAATGTTAACACCTCCGCGGAACAGGTAGAAAATATTCTTATCACAACGGCAAAACGGTGTCTAAAGATAAGAACGACGAGACGACGTAAACGCACCTATTCACGCTCAAATAAAAAATGGTTTGATAAGGAATGTCGCTTAAAAAGATACGAATTAAGGAAATTGTCAAATGAAAAACACAGAGATCCCTTAAATACCACTCTACGTGAAAAATATCATATTGTTTTACAGCAGTATAAGAAATTACTCGCACATAAAAGAAATGAATATTACAACAATAAACTCTCAGAATTAGAGGATATAACGTACAATTTGGATACTAAAAAATTTTGGAATTGCTTAAAATCAATGGATGACACTATAAAATACAAAGACACTCCACCAATTGCAGAAGAGAATTGGATGAATTATTTCCAGTGTCTACATTCTAATAAGCCACTTACTTCTGAGCAACAGAAAGTTGTCAATGAGTTAAGAACACGAGAAGACGTCTTAATGCAATCACGACCTCTAGACTACTTCATAACAGAAGCTGAAATAAGCAAGGCAGCAAGAAAATTAAAGAATAACAAATCTGCATACTCCGACAAAATAAGAAACGAAATGATTAAAGCTAGCTTACCAACACTGCTACCTGTTTACCATAAACTTTTTAATACTGTTCTTAACTTAGGAACAGTGCCTAAAAATTGGTGCAACGGTCTTATAACTCCCATATTTAAATCTGGCGTAAGAAATGACCCATCAAATTACCGCGGGATTTGTGTTTCTAGTTGTCTAGGAAAGTTGTTCTTTTCAATTTTAAACCAAAGACTTCTTGAACACGTCACTTCGCTGAACATACTCCACAAGTCTCAAATCGGCTTCTTACCTAAAAATCGAACATCAGACCACCTCCTAACATTACGAACTGTTATAGACAAGTACGTACACTGTCACGGTGAGAAAGTATACGCTTGTTTTGTTGACTTTAGAAAAGCCTTTGACTCAGTCTGGCATGACGGACTTTTATATAAATTATTACAAATTGGTGTAGGGGGATGTTTCTATAAGTTAATCCAAAACCTATATTCAAACTCTTCGTGTGCATTGAAAATAGGTACGAGTCAAACAAAATCTTTTAGCTATTCACGAGGCGTACGCCAGGGCTGTATTTTAAGCCCCTTACTTTTCAATTTATACGTTAATGACTTACCGTCCGCATTTCAAAATACTTTATCAGACCCTATCATCCTTCCAAATGGTACCAAATTAAATTCGCTTTTATATGCTGATGATTTAATTATTATATCACGATCTAAAATAGGATTACAGAACTGTCTCAACACATTATCCTCTTTTTGCAACTCTTGGATGTTAGATATAAATTCCAAAAAGACCAAAGTTATGGTCTTTCAAAAACGAGCGAAGAAAAACTCCAATCTAGAATTCCATATAGGTAAAGAAACCATTGATATTGTCCATGAATATACATATTTAGGAACCCGTATCTCCTCAACCGGTAATTTTAATATCTCACTCGAACACTTGAAAGAGAAGGCTCTTCATGCTCTTTTTAGTTTAAGAAAACACACAAACTTTAGCAAATTAAAACCTTCTCTTGCTTGCAAAATATTTGAAACGATGATTTCCCCAATATTATCATATAATAGCGAAATTTGGGGTGTATATGTAAAACATGATTTTAAAGCTTGGGACAATACCCCAATTGAAAAAACCCACTTGAAATTTTGCAAGCGTTACCTAGAAATAAGCAATAAAGCTTCAAATGTTGCAAGTAGAAGTGAATTAGGACGGTTTCCATTAATTATTAATATTTATAAAAACATCCTTTATTACATATTGTATCTTCTGCGTAAAAACGAGGATACTATTGTTAAACAAGCCTTTCGTACTTCGCTAGAACTTCACTGTAATGGTAAAAATAGCTTTTACCATAATCTTATGAAAATATTTGAATATTATGACCTCCCTGATTTTGATCCTAATAATTTAAGTGAAGCTAAGATCAAACACTATATAGATATAATAAAACAAAAATATATTGCATATTGGCAACATACAATCCATCATTCTAAGAAACTACAATTTTACAGCTTATTTAAACATGATTATAAAATTTCAAGCTATCTAGACTTAATTAGAAATTCTGCTAATAGGAAAGATTTAGTGAAAATTCGTATAAGTAACCACAAACTCATGATTGAAACTGGAAGATATAATCAAACTTCCCGCAACGATAGATTCTGTCCTATTTGTAACTCTAATATAATTGAAGACGAATTTCATTTTCTATTCCATTGTCCAAAATACTCAATCCCAAGGGAGAAATTCTACAATCAAATCCAACAAAATTTTGTCGACTTTAATCAGCTATCTTACACAGAATTAATAATTAAATTGATGAATTCACAGAATTTTTCCGTAAATTCACATTTGTTGAAATTTGTCTCATTATGTAATGATTTACGTAGTAATTTGTTATCAAATCATGCTGATGATACTTGATTGTCTATAGTAATCATTGTTATGATTTGTTTGTTTGTTTGTTTTTTTTTGTGTTAAAGCTTTTGCAATACTGTAACTACATAATTATAGTCATGCAAATAAAGCTTATGTTGTTGTTGTTGTTGTTGTTGTCCATCTTATCAGTCGTAATTTGGTTAAGTAAAAATTTCCCAGTAATTACTCCGAAAGGTTGCGTATATGATACGCAAAAATAGAACAGCGAAGAACGCTGAATAAGAGGCCTGTCACAGTATTTGGCAAGTTGGCCATATTTTTGGACCACAATGGGGTTGGGCGCGAACTTTATAGTAAGAACTCCAAAATGTCGCTCTGATGATCAGGAGCAAAACATTTCCTGAAAACGATGATTCCGACGCGTTTGACAGTATTTTACAAATTGGTCATTGTTTCGTTAGTAATGGGGTTCAACAAGAATTTTAAAGTGAGAGTTCCAAAATGTCGGTTTGATGAAAGGCACCAAAAAACTAGGTGAATACGACGAAGAATGAGAGGCGTGCGACAGTACTTGCAAATTGGTCATCTTTTTGGTCGTAACG